TTTCCAAGTAGTGGTGACCCGGCCTTGGCTCCCTATCATATACATGTATAGGGTATTTGGTGATTACTACTGCTGTGCCACGTTTATTCTCGTTGGTCAAGGTGTTGGCTGCTGTTTCAGAACGTTATATTAATCTAGGTAAGATCATTTACAGCAGGGGTGGGGAACCTTGTTTCTGCCAAGGGCCATTTGGAAATTTATATCATTCACGGGCCATGTTGCTACTCGCAACTGCTTTTCCAGGTTTGCGTCGGTCAGTCTGGAGCGCAGTCGACTCTTTGCGATGGAATAAGTTGTTCCGAACATAAATGTATATTTCAATGCATGTCTTCTAAACGCGGGAAATTCATCATTGCTTATGTAACGTTCATGGAACTAAAGCAGTGGGAGGTTACTGTACCTAGCTTAACCTGCAAAAATGTTCCATTCCATTTGTTTACTTTTCACATCCTTGAATCATTAAATACCTCTATTAGTTTCGCACATTCACCATCATATTCAAGTGTCCTGGAAGGTTTTTTTCCATCCAGAGTGGTGAAATGCACCGTGTTATTACCTTCAAATGAGTGGAGCTCCATCTGTAGTAAGGTTACTTAACTTTTCCAGTGTTAGCTCAAGTTTTTTCATTGATAAAAGAAATCTCTGAAACAAGTCCTCACCTCTTGTAGTGCCATGCATGGTTTCCACTGACAGCAGTTCCTTTCGCGTGTCAAACTCTGCAGTTATCCCAAGAACGAAAACGGCCAGTTGGGCAGTATATGTTATGTTCGTTGTCTCGTCACAAGCCAGAAAGAAAAAATGGAAATCTCCTGCAGAACCCTTCAGTGTTTTTTCAATATCTTGTGCTATGTCAGTAATCCGATCTGAAACGGTTCTATGAGACAAACTATTAAACAATTTTACTTTGCCTGGTGCTAACAACTCCGCAGCAGCCATCATGCACTCTTTCACAAACTCTTTCTCTACAAGAGGCCTCAGCTTCTTTGCGATTAACTCGCTCACTACATAACTCATCTGAATAACGTTGTCTCTGTCACAACGAAACCTAGTGAAAGCGGCTTCTTGTAATTCCAAACTCCGCTGAAGAGAGCTGATTTTATCCAGACGCATTTCCCAATTCATTGAGTCTAGCATGTTTGGAGCTGTAATAACGCTCCAGAGTGGCTTTTTTCATTACTGCTGACGCATAGCCACAAACTAAGCTTCAATAAAAAAATTAACCTTTGTCCATTTCTCTTGGAAATGCCCCAAATAGCCCAGGATGAGTGGCTTTCCTTGTACTTAACAATTCAAAATTGCAATCACACGTTGCAAATATTTCAAAGAAATAAATGAATAAATGAAAAGGTCGACACTCTGCATCAACTTTTCGTTGTAGTCGCCATTTGTAGGATGCAACACAACTTTAGTTTTAATGATTATCCAATGTGTGTTAACACTTTCGTAATGTGTACACTGCCACCCTACCTGGTACTGAGTGTCCTGAGTCTGGGTCGGTGTAACACACTCTCCGCTACATACTTCACTAAAATGTAAAAATTAATACTGTTCCTGACATCTACCGAAAATCAATCGATATTTTTGTCAGTAGAAATAATATATAGTCAAAATAGCAGCAGAAGATTCGATTTGTTGAGACTTGTCGTCTGTCAGAGAAGGAATTATTTGATACTTTGTGTGAACGTAGTGATGAAACTAAGAAAGAAAGTGGAGATGAGGATGTCAGTGGTATGTTGTATGGGAAATATGTTCGAAATGAAGAAGACGATGGATGGGAGTCTGATTCAAGATGTGAAGATGACCGATCAGATTTTATGAAATATTGGAATATTACTAGCACATAAAAAATGATTATATTCTTCCAAAGGGCCTCATTTTTATAAACTTTATCAGAATAAAAGCTGAAAGGTATCTTCATAATTCTACATACTTATCTGGATTTTTGGTTTCTTATTTTTTTCATTTCACAGTGTGAATCGGTATGGGGATGGCTTAATATAAATTTATGTTGCTTTGGAAAAAATCTCCTAGATTGATTGAATTTCGAGTCATCCCTGCGGTTGCCTTGGCAGGGTCAAACCAAATGATTTCGCGAGCCTTATACGGTCCGAGAGCCTTATACGGTCCGCGAGCCTTATACGGTCCGCGAGCCTTATACGATCCGCGAGCCTTATACGGTCCGCGAGCCTTATACGGTCCACGAGCCTTATACGGTCCGCGAGCCTTATACGGTCCGAGAGCCTTATACGGTCCGAGAGCCTTATACGGTCCGCGAGCCTTATACGGTCCGCGAGCCTTATACGATCCGCGAGCCTTATACGGTCCGCGAGCCTTATACGGTCCGCGAGCCTTAATACGGTCCGCGAGCCTTATACGGTCCGCGAGCCTTATACGGTCCGCGAGCCTTATACGGTCCGCGAGCCTTATACGGTCCGCGAGCCTTATACGGTCCGCGAGCCTTATACGATCCGCGAGCCTTATACGGTCCGCGAGCCTTATACGGTCCGCGAGCCTTTATACGGTCCGCGAACCTTATACGGTCCGCGAGCCTTATACGGTCCGCGAGCCTTATACGGTCCGCGAGCCTTATACGGTCCGCGAACCTTATACGGTCCGCGAGCCTTATACGGTCCGCGAGCCTTATACGGTCCGGGAGCCTTATACGGTCCGCGAGCCTTATACGGTCCGCGAGCCTTATACGGTCCGCGAGCCTTATACGGTCCGCGAGCCTTATACGGTCCGCGAGCCTTATACGGTCCGCGAGCCTTATACGGTCCGCGAGCCTTATACGGCCCGCGAGCCTTATACGGCCCGCGAGCCTTATACGGTCCGCGAGCCTTATACGGTCCGCGAGCCTTATACGGTCCGCGAGCCTTATACGGCCCTCGGGCCGTACGTTTCCCACCTCGATATTCAAACCATGTGCACTCTTTCAAATTTATTTAATATGTACCCTGTTCCCACGCAATGTACAAAGTTAAATCTTTCAGTACTCCTAAGTCTGCGTGTGTCTTTAATTGACCTATTACATGACTGAAGCACTGTGTTTTGTACTATTAAAAGCAATATGGAATTGTTATCTACGGAAATATGGAACATAATTTCCCTTAGCCCAATTGATGTTTGTGATAAATTGTTATACGTTTCATAATTACAGTGAATGTTTGTTAGTATACCCGTACAGTGTATACTGTGCTTACAGTGAATGTGTCACTATATACAACAGTGAATGTTTGTTAGTATTCCCGTACAGTGTATACTGTGCTTACAGTGAATGTGTCACTATATACATTTTAGGTGTGGCACTGTATCCCTTACCCCTCCTCGGATCAAATTTGATTACCTTCCATTTCCCTGGCGTTGTTTAGCCACTACGCCCTACGGGTTTAGCGCTTTTCCATGCATAATAATGATAATCCTTTATTCTTTTTAAGGGAATGCCTTGATGCCGACGAAGGGCTCTTGATTCGAGGATCTTGCACTACCTTTTTCTTTCTTGGATCAAACTTAATTATCTCCCACTTAACAAATAACAGTGGGAGACAAGTTTCTGGTTCAAGTATGGGCGAAACGTCGTCATAAGTTTCTATGTGCGGGTTATTTGTGTATTGTCACAGTCACGGTATTGTCCCTTTTCCTTATTTATCTTCCATTTCTCGGTCTATGTGATTCCTACGGGTTGAGCGCTTTTGCCCCAGTGATACAAGCTGCATTAACTCCAAAAAAATAAAAAGAAAAAAAAAGAAAAAATATATGAGCCGTATTTTGTGTCATCTGTCATGTTGATGAATTTTAGTTCGAGGTTTTATTTACAGACGGAAAATAATTGATCTTAAAACCTTTGACGCGTCGGTTTCGTTACGTTTTCGAAACCAAAAGCAATCATATTTCCCCATTAATTGCTAGTATTTTTTGGGGGGGACCTTTGAAGGCGACTTTATAACATGGTAATGCGGATGAATTTTAATTTTGGGTTTATTTAATTTTGGTGTAATTATTACAAGATAAATGGTTTAGGAAATTGATTACTTGAAGACTGAGACACTTATACAATATAGGAATCATTATTGAGGAAACGTTTCGCCATACAGTGGCTTCATCAGTCCAATACAAAGATGAACGGTGTAAAGGGAGGAGGAGGAGGAGTTTGAGGTAATCAATCCCTCAGCCTGGAATCGATGTGTTCAGTCCATGAGTCTTGAAGAAAGTACAGTATATGCTGTACTTTCTTCACGACTCGTGGACTAAACACCGATTCCAAACTCACGGACTGATTACTTCAAACTCCTCTTCCTCCTCCCTTTATATCGTTCTTCTTTGTATTGGACTGATAAAGCCACTGGCTGGAGAAACGCTTCCTCAGTAAAGATTCTCGTATTTTACGTCTCTCATTCTTCAGTGTAGTTAGTATAAGTTTCAAGACTTCATTGTGAACAATAATAAAAAAAATTATCTTCAAATTTCGGGAAATATCAGGACTGGTTTGAAATTTATCCTCTAGATATATATTTAACCCATCAGCCGTTCCCCATCCAGGCGGGATGATCCATAGTACACTGTCATTACCACTCACTCCATCACTGTCTTGTCAGAGGCGTGTCTAAACAACACTTAAAACTACAACATATCACTCTTCCTTCCGAGTGCCGGCACTTCACATCCCACCTCCAGAACTCAAGTCCGGCCAACCGGTTTCCCTGAATCCCTTCATAAATGTTACCTTGCTTTCCTGGGCAACTTTACCACTGTGTTTCAATACAAAACCATGTTCAGTATCACTCGCTACATTACTGTCCTCAACAGGAAACTGATGTACACAATAACTACTACTTTCTTTTGTTAAAGACTGGGGAAGAGAGGTGAAAATGAGTGAGGGAAATTAGAGAAAATGAAATTAATTACACGATTAGAGTCTGAATAACACACAACGTACCTCATGGACAAGACCCATGGCAGGGCTACGCCAGCAAATAACAGAAGCACAACAAAGCAGCACTAACCTTGACTTCCTCTGGAGGTTGTGAATGGCTGACCGTCTTCCCTGGTCCAGCGTATGTGTGGCTTGGGAACACCTTCAGCGCGGCACACAAGACGAACGTCTTGACTCTCCGTCACTGACACGTGTGACTGGCTGCTTTCTTCATCTACAAACTGCGGAGGTACTATAAGTACCCAAGGAGAGAGAGACACACATGTTAGTTTAACAAGTGGGACCCAGGGAGAAACACACACACACACACACACACACACACACACACACACACATTAGTTTAATTAACAACTGTAAGAGGGGAAGACAGAAAAACTTGTCTTTAACACGTATGAAACTAGTTTTATTATATGTCCTTTCAAACAAGCAACTGCCCCAATTACTCTTATATCAATAGCCTATTCAGTAATAAAGTATGTGTATTGTAACAATAATCTTACTAATAACAGACTTTATTAAATCAATAACAACATGGATACTAACTATATTATATTAATAACCCGACAAATAATAACAATAAAAGGCACAATACCGTGACTGGAACAATACACAAATAACCCGCACATAGAAGAGAGGAGCTTACAACGACGTATCGGTCCGACTTGGACCATTTACAAAGTCACACTGTGTGACTTTGTTATTTGTGTACTGACCAATAATAGAGAATATTATATCAATAGCCTGATTAATAGTTGACTATATTATATTTTGTCGATTGATTGACTGCCTCTTTCATAACATCCTGACAAATAAGAATGTTAACACCGCCATGATAGTGGTACTTGGTAGCACTACCATGGTAGCACAAGCCAACAAGCAGAGGAAAAGCCACTATAATTTAGGAGAGCCTTTGTTACTACTCTAGGGAAATGCTGGGCATACTATAAGCCTTTGTAATGTTTTACCTATGTTGAAGAGTGAATTGAAATAAACATTATTATTATTGTTTAAGATATTCAGAACCGGACATCAACTATACAAAAAAATAATAAACCGCCCCTCTCAAGGGAGTATCGTTGACGCTGTTAGGGACTCTTGATCCAAGGCATTTGACCTGACCTGACCTTTCCTTGGATAGAATCTGTTAGCTTCCTATTCTTAAACAAGCGATGTATGACCTCTACGGGCTTAGCACTCCCCTATGATAGAAATACAGATGTAGTAAAGAATTGCGTGATATCACCAGAACTGTTAACTCTTCTATGAACCTTCTCCTATTAATAATTGACTAGGGTTTGCAGTTTGAAGCTGGTTGGATAAGGCGTTCTAAAGTTAAAAATGAAATTCTAAGATGGGATACAGAAAAACTGCAGCCAACAGATGGCCGGCTCGTGCGTCATGCCGTGCAGTATTTACTTAAGGGTTCTGTTATAAACTTTGGTAATAAATACCGACAAGTTGGTTTAGAAAGACACGTAAGCAAACACACGTAAGCAAACACACGTAAGCAAACACGCGTAAGCAAACACACCTAAGCAAACACACGAAGTGATCAAGGTTCCAGGACCGAAACGTTTTCTAATAAATATGTCATAGTGTTTGCTTACGTGTCTTTCTAAACCAACTTAAGGTTTCTACGAAGACAATTAAAATCACTATAAAAATGTGAGTTTTTTTGCGTTTGTATTAGTTTTATAATCATTTAAAATCTAGTAAGATTTTTTTAAGATCGTATGAGTTGTTAAAAATTCCAATGATTTTTTTTTATTATCACACCGGCCGATTCCCACCAAGGCAGGGTGGCCCGAAAAAGAAAAACTTTCACCATCATTCACTCCATCACTGTCTTGCCAGAAGGGTGCTTTACACTACAGTTTTTAAACTGCAACATTAACACCCCTCCTTCAGAGTGCAGGCACTGTACTTCCCATCTCCAGGACTCAAGTCCGGCCTGCCGGTTTCCCTGAATCCCTTCATAAATGTTACTTTGCTCACACTCCAACAGCACGTCAAGTATTAAAAACCATTTGTCTCCATTCACTCCTATCAAACACGCTCACGCATGCCTGCTGGAAGTCCAAGCCCCTCGCACACAAAACCTCCTTTACCCCTCCCTCCAACCCTTCCTAGGCCGACCCCTACCCCGCCTTCCTTCCACTACAGACTGATACACTCTTGAAGTCATTCTGTTTCGCTCCATTCTCTCTACATGTCCGAACCACCTCAACAACCCTTCCTCAGCCCTCTGGACAACAGTTTTGGTAATCCCGCACCTCCTCCTAACTTCCAAACTACGAATTCTCTGCATTATATTCACACCACACATTGCCCTCAGACATGACATCTCCACTGCCTCCAGCCTTCTCCTCGCTGCAACATTCATCACCCACGCTTCACACCCATATAAGAGCGTTGGTAAAACTATACTCTCATACATTCCCCTCTTTGCCTCCAAGGACAAAGTTCTTTGTCTCCACAGACTCCTAAGTGCACCACTCACTCTTTTTCCCTCATCAATTCTATGATTCACCTCATCTTTCATAGACCCATCCGCTGACACGTCCACTCCCAAATATCTGAATACGTTAACCTCCTCCATACTCTCTCCCTCCAATCTGATATTCAATCTTTCATCACCTAATCTTTTTGTTATCCTCATAACCTTACTCTTTCCTGTATTCACCTTTAATTTTCTTCTTTTGCACACCCTACCAAATTCATCCACCAATCTCTGCAACTTCTCTTCAGAATCTCCCAAGAGCACAGTGTCATCGGCAAAGAGCAGCTGTGACAATGATTTTAAGGTTAAAAAATGTTTATCGCATTGACAAATTAGCTCACACATAATAAACTGAATGGACACTTGGTGTCCCGTCTTCAGTACTCTGTCCAATGTGCTCACCTATTTGTGGTTGAAAGGGTCGGGTCACAGCTCCTTTCTCCGCCTCTTGGCTGGTTGCTGTTAGGTCCAATCTTTCCCTTCTCCAAGAGATTTATCGTATCTTCTTAAAGCTGTGTATGAATCCTGCCTCCACTACATGACTCTCCAGATTGTTCCACTTCCTGACAACTCTATGACTGAAGATATACTTCCTAACATTCCTGTGACTCATCTAAGTTTTCAGCTTCTAACTGTGACCCCTTGTTGCTCTGTACCATCTCTGAAACATTCTCTCCCTATTCACCTTGTTGATTCCTCTCAGTATTTTATATGTTATCATGTTTTCCCTGTCCCTCCTGTCCTCCAGTGTCGTCAGGTTGATTTCCCTTACCTCTCCTCGTAGGACATACTCCTTAGCTCCGGGACTAGTCTTGTTGCAAACCTTTGCACTACTCTAATTTCTTAACGTATTTGACTAAGTGTGGGTTCCGTTTTGGTGCTGCATACTCCAATATGGTCCTGACGTACACTGTGTATAGTGTCTTAAATGACTCTTTACTCAAGTGTCGAAACGCTATTCTTTGATCTGCGAGGCGCTTCTATGCTGCAGCTGTGTGTGTGTGTGTGTGTGTGTGTGTGTGTGTGTGTGTGTGTGTGTGTGTGTGTGTGTGTGTGTGTGTGTGTGTGTGTGTGTATTCTGGTGCAGTGAATATAAGTTAAACTAACACTTTTCTGCTGTTTATACTTTACTCATCATTAATGATTGCCTTTCGACTGGGTTAAAATCTGGTTCACAGCACGACCATGGTTCACAGCACGACCATGGTTCACAGCACGACCATGGCTCACAGCACGACCATGGTTCACAGCACGACCATGGTTCACAGCACGACCATGGTTCACAGCACGACCATGGTTCACAGCACGACCATGACGATTGTCAGTGGGTCAACGATGACATAAGTTCATAGTGAGAATCACACTATGTTGGCAGAGAAATCTTTATTATGACATCTGTTCAGTCATAGATTTTATGAAGTATGAAAAATGTTAAAGATACACCAACTTGCGAAGTAAGGAGCATATTGAGCCTCGGGTGAGGTCAGAGGTGAGGTAACAAGTAAGGTCACGGGGAGTGATAAGTCAAAGAATAAACATGTAAACTGTAGGTGCTGATAACTGTGGGAAAACCTGGACACAGTAGGGTCCATAAACATTTTTATTCTGTGTACAACCTGAGCGGCGGGTTCCGCCAGTGTGTACCGCCTTTATGTTCACAAGTGACAGCTAAATGAATAACAGCTGCTTCCACAATCCAATTTTTTGTTCTCTCTTTCTTATACAACTAAAGTGCTGCTCCCATGATGTTTATACTGCCCTTCCTGCAAGCGTAATTGTCATCATACTCGCGAGTCTGAAGGTCATATACTGTCTCAGTGATGTAAACGCTATATCCCCCTCACACGGATTGCTATAAATCCCTGCAGCTGTAGCGCTCTCGGGACTGTGAGGTCTGGTGATGTCTTTGATGGTTCTGACGGACACGACAGCAATATCCATTTGCCTTTATGAAAGATGGAGGTGATAGGGGTGGTATCCAGTCCTATGGGAGGACATGACAGGCAATGTAGGCCTTTTTCCTGGGAGTAGAGTGGGTGAATAAAGCTTTTCTTTTGCAAGAGTGGATGATTTGTTTCTCTTCACGGAATTCTCCATTACACACCCTGGGGGCGCTGAAGGGAAGCAACTTCACCTGACTCCATATATGGTCATCGGGTCGAGGTGGAAAATATATTGTATGAATTTACATTTGTCAGTGGAATGGTTTGCTCCTCAGCACCGTCATGGCCAACATATACTTTGAATTCTTAGAGTAAAACCGGTTTAAGAACATCATCCTAGGCAACATTACGTGGTTGATATACAGTATACTGACATCTTGGTTATTGCTCCTGGACGCTTTGCTTTTGGCCATTTTAGGACACAACTTAGTAGAGCCCACCAAACAGTTTTCTCTGGAGATAGAACAGGGTGATTTGCCTGCCTTGTCATCCTTCTCATCAAGGAACTCTATCAAACGAAAGATTTGCTGAAGATCAACCAATAAAGATCAACTGATACACTATTTTTTAACTAACAACCCTAAACGCAGAGTCTTTAGAATTATTTTTCCTCTGAGCCTTAAGGGTTTGTAATGAAACATTTTTAAAAGAGGAATAGAAATATTTCGAGGACACTTTCACCACACTTAACATTACATTTAATATCCCACTACACATCAACAGCAAACCTTCACTCATCCACACCACTTTCCGGTAAACAGTTGATATCAGTCGTCAACAAGTCGTTCCTACTGGACAGTTTGCTAACAGTATCAAACTCTTTTCTGAAGAGCGAAGATGGGCATTGGTGTCATAACCTGAGAAACTACCAAAGAAATCACCGGACCACACAGGAGTTTACAGCATTTCCTGTGAGGGATGTGCCGTAGTAAGGTTTACGTTGATACAACAAAGCACAACCTTCAGACATTACTGTAGGAACACAAATATGCTTACAAGATAGAAGATATCAACAACGAGTTGTTCATAGCACTCTACACTCACACATTATAAGACATGGAACTGTACTGCAGTTGAAGTGCTGCAACAACTGTTCATCAAACTGCCACTAGTGATCAAAACAAGGGAACGTACACGCCGGCAGCTCCCATCGCTCATATGATACACAGTTGTCATTATATATATATATATATATATATATTTTATATATATTATATATATATATATACATTATATATATATTATATATATATATTATATATATTATATATATATATATATAATATATATATATATATATTATATATATATATATATATATATATCCTGTGGTCGTGATACCAGCCTCCCGCCTCCACATCCCTCGCAAATCGGTAACTAAACATGTTTACTGTTCGACCTGTCTGTGTACTTCCCTTTGGACCTCTCCCTGATCTGATCTCCGGATGTTCGTGTGTTTTATGTGACGCTGTATATGTAACTGCATACATGGTATTCCAGTACTGAATGAAATATAATAATGAATTAAGATATAACAGTTAGGGATCTTTTACCGAAACGTTTCAACTACAGAGCAGTCTTCTTCAGTCGAATACAGAGGAAGCAGAGGAACCAGAGGATATTTTGAGACCATGTAATCAGTCTTTCAACCTCGACTCGCCAAATTTCCATTTTTGTGAAAGAAATTGATAAAATTGAAATAATGGTATTCATGAAAAGTAGTATGGAGATACCGACAAGATATGAATATTTATTAGAAGAAGAGTTTCACCACGAATGGCTTCATCAGTCCTAACGGCTTTCGTTTTTCATCCCTTCATTGATGAATCAATGTCAGTGCAACTTTTCAGCAATTTCGAGCTTAATGTACAAGCTTACTTTAGATTATTTATCACTGTGAAATAACACTAGAAGCCTCTTGAACTTGGCTTCAATGCTGGTGATTTCTAGCGAAAGATCTGATTTGCTTTTCCATTGTCATTGTGCTCGTAGGAATGGGAGTGCATGAGGACTGTCAGTTTGCTCCTTGGTGAGTGCCCGTCTGCTTGATGACTGTCAGTATGCTCCTAGTAGTGGCTGTCTGCTGATGACTGTCAGTGTACTCTTAGCAATGGCTGTCTGCATGACTGACAGCAAGCCAGCAGTGACTGTCTGCATGAGAACTGTCAATGTCGTCCTAGCAGTGACTGCATGACTGACAGTAAACCAAAAGTGACTGTCTGCATGACTGACAGTAAGCCAAAAGTGACTGTCTGCATGAGAACTGTCAATGTCGTCCTAGTGGTGACTGCATGATGACTGTCAGTATACTCCTAGTAGTGGCTGTCTGCTGATGACTGTCAGTGTACTCTTAGCAATGGCTGTCTGCATGTCTGACAGCAAGCCAGCAGTGACTGTCTGCATGCGAACTGTCAAAGTCGTCCTAGCAGTGACTGCATGACTGACAGTAAACCAAAAGTGACTGTCTGCATAACTGACAGTAAGCCAAAAGTGACTGTCTGAATGAGAACTGTCAATGTCGTCCTAGTGGTGACTGCATGATGACTGTCAGTATACTCCTAGTAGTGGCTGTCTGCTGATGACTGTCAGTGTACTCTTAGCAATGGCTGTCTGCATGTCTGACAGCAAGCCAGCAGTGACTGTCTGCATGAGAACTGTCAATGTCGTCCTAGCAGTGACTGCATGACTGACAGTAAACCAAAAGTGACTGTCTGCATGACTGACAGTAAGCCAAAAGTGACTGTCTGCATGAGGACTGACAGTATGCTGACAGTGTGTGTCTGCATAAGGTTATAGTTACTGAACATTTGAACACGAGTTCTTCTAGGTTTAATCTTTCAGGCTAGAAAAGAGTTCGTTATAACAAGTTAGAAGATTGTTTTATTTTATTTTAAAAGCCAGACATTTCCAATAAAACTCATTATTTTTTCCTGTAAACTAATAGATTTCTGAAGTAATTTATTTATAATATTAAGACAAGCTGGTATAACACTGGTGAACACAGCTTAATACTATCTTAAGCTTTTTTGGATGAAACCTGATTAGCAAGCACTCCCTAGCAGCTGTATGACCCCCTACGGGTTTAGACGTCATACAGTAATATTAACATTCTAAGATATTAATATTCTATTCCTGTAACTACAAACACTGAAGATGGGACGTCACAGCAAGACTGAATTCCTAAAAATGTAAATGAGACATCACCAACTTAGCACTAATGCTGTATCTACACTGTAAATGAGACATCACCAACATAGCGCTACTGCTGTACCTACAACACTGTAAATGAGACATCAACACAGCGCTACTGCTGTATCTACAACACTGTAAATGAGACATCACCAACATAGAGCTAATGCTGTATCTACAATCACTGTAAATGAGACATCACCAACATAGCCCTACTGCTATATCTACAATCACTGTAAATGGGACATCATCAACATAGCCCTACTGCTATATCTACAATCACTCTAAATGGGACATAACCAACATAGCCCTACTGCTATATCTACAATCACTGTAAATGGGACATCACCACATAAGCCCTACTGCTATATCTACAATCACTGTAAATGGGACATCACCAAACATAGCCCTACTGCTATATCTACAATCACTCTAAATGGGACATAACCAACATAGCCCTACTGCTATATCTACAATCACTCTAAATGGGACATAACCAACATAGCCCTACTGCTATATCTACAATCACTGTATATGAGACATCACCAACATAGCCCTACTGCTATATCTACAATCACTGTAAATGGGACATCACCAACATAGCCCTACTGCTATATCTACAATCACTGTAAATGAGACATCACCAACATAGCCCTACTGCTATATTTACACTCACTGTAAATGGGACATCACCAACATAGCCCTACTGCTATACCTACAATCACTGTAAACAAGACATCACCAACATAGCCCTACTGCTATATCTACAATCACTGTAAAAGGGACATGACCAACATAGCCCTACTGCTATATCTACAATCACTGTAAATGAGACATCACCAACATAGTCCTACTGCTATATCTACAATCACTGCAAATGGGACATCACCAACATAGTCCTACTGCTATATCTACAATCACTGCAAATGGGACATCACCAACATAGCCCTACTGCTATATCTACAATCACTGTAAGTGAGATATCACCAACATAGCTCTACTGCTATATCTACAATCACGGTAAATGGGACATCACCAGCATAGCCCTACTGCTATATCTACAACCACTGTAAATGAGACATCGCCAGCATAGCCCTACTGCTATATCTACAATCACTGTAAGTGAGATATCACCAACATAGCTCTACTGCTATATCTACAATCACGGTAAATGGGACATCACCAACATAGCCCTACTGATGTATCTACAATCACTGTAAATGAGACACCATCAACATAGCCCTACTGCTATATCTACAATCACTGTAAATGGGACATCACCAACATAGCCCTACTGCTATATCTATAATCATTGTAAATGGGACATCACCAACATAGCCCTACTGCTATATCTATAATCACTGTAAATAGGACATGACCAACATAGCCTACTGCTATTCTACAATCACTGTAAATGAGACATCACCAACATAGCCCTACTGCTATATCTATAATCACTGTAAATAGGACATGACCAACATAGTCCTACTGCTATATCTACAATCACTGTAAATGAGACATCACCAACATAGCCCTACTGCTATATCTACAATCACTGTAAATGAGACATCACCAACATAGCCCTACTGCTATATCTACAATCACTGTAAATGAGACATCACCAACATAGCCCTACTGCTATATCTATAATCACTGTAAATAGGACATGACCAACATAGTCCTACTGCTATATCTACAATCACTGTAAATGAGACATCACCAACATAGCCCTACTGCTATATCGACAATCACTGTAAATGGGACATCACCAATATTTCTATACACCTGTAGCTACATAAAATTTAAGACATGAAACAACACATTGGGATGATCCCAGGTAATGACTTACCAACGACCTGCACATATCCGACCTGGTTGATAGCCGGTTCCATATTAACCTGACAGACATAGTAGCCAGTGTCGTCAGGTTGCACATTACGTATGTGGAGGGTCCAAGTGGTAGGGTCCTCACGCGTGACCCGAAACCTCGGGATGAGTGTGATAGTTGTCTCATCTATAGTGAGCAGCATCACACGGTTGAGGTGCATCCATGTCACCTGAAACAGGATATAAATGTATCAAGGGAGAGCAGAGACAAACGGGAAAACGGTTTGTGTGTTACTTTTAAGGGAAACGATAAAACCGCGTGGGTCATGCAGCGCAGGATATGATGCTAATCTCAAAAATCCCACTCTTGGTACCTACCTTCTGAGATCAATACGAATCATTTACACGAAAGGATGAGCATGGAAGAGTTAGCAAATTATGGAATTTGCGCCTTATAAGTTAAAATGTGTAGTCAATGACTAAGTTCTAATTTACAGGAAAAGTTCAAAATGAAATATACTTAATAGACATACACAATTGGTGTATTCTCTAGCAAATATATTTGATAGAAATTAGGTTTTATGTATTTTATTATTTTCCTTGTGCATCTTGGGTACAAGGAAGGAACGACATGTTACTCAAAGTTTTATCAGAAGATGCTCTTAACTGGAAACAGTAATTAAACCAGGACATCAACAACCAATTAAAACCAGCTAACGAGACTACACCTTAAATACTTTCCTCTCGAAATTACCTTAATTTTACCTTTGTTTCAATCAAAAGAAAAATGACATGTCAAGTGTTCAGGTTTAGAATATTTGCACTACAAGGAAACACTTACATTGTTGACATTTACCATTGTAATATATTATCAAGTTTTGTAAATCCTGACCATGATTATATAACATTAAAACGTCTTTCTTCACACACAATATAATATATATATATATATATATATATATATATATATATATATATATATATATATATATATATATATATATATGTCGTGCCGAATAGGCAGAACTTGCGATCTTGGCTTAAATAGCAACGCTCATCTTGCCATATAGGACAAGTGAAAATTTGTGTATGCAGTAATTTCGCCAAAATCATTCTGAACCTAACGAAAAAAATAGATTTCTCTGTGTTTGTTTAGTATTAAATTACTGTAAGCAAATCTAAAATATATTTAGTTGGGTTAGGCTAAAATAAATTGCGCTTGTTATAATAAGGTTAGGTAAGTTTTCTAAGTTCCTTATGGTGCAAAATTATAAATTTTTACATCAACATTAGTAAAAAATATATATCTTTAAACGTATAAGAGAAGATTTTAGAAAGGACTTAATTTTAAATGAGTTCTTGCTAATTGACCAGTTATACATATTCGGCACGACATTATATATTATATATATATATATATATATATATATATATATATATATATATATATATATATATATATATATATATATATATATATATATATATATATACAGGGGTATTTTTGCGGGTGTGTAGCAGTTGTTGGTGATAATGGTTGGTGGTTGATGTGCACTAACGTGTTTATTCATTAGTTTATCTGTGTAACTGTTGTGATTTTAAGCAGGAATTATTACACTTATCAAGGTTAATATTCTGCTTCAGCTCCACGAAAACTAAACCTATCCTTAGATGCCTTAGTTACTTATTTGGTTGTGCTCTCTAGTTTAGAATATTGTTTAGTGTTGACGGCCCCGTTCAGGGCTGGAGAGAAATCAGAGGTGGATACAGATACCCTTTATGGCCCACAGTGAGACAATAAAACCTTTAAATTGCTTGGAATGCCTTTGTCTTAAATTTATTCTCACTGACGCGGAGAGAAAGATTCATGATAATATATACCTGGAAAATTTTTGAGGACGTTGGCCCTAACCTGCACACTACCATAACAGCATAATGAAACAAGAGTAATGGAAGGACGTTCAAAATAAACCAAGTTTAAAGCAGAGACGCCGTGGACACAATAAAGATACACTGTATCAACATCCATGGTCCCAAGCTATTAGAAAATATCGGAAACATTGCTGGGATAACTGTAAAAGTTGTTGTAGAGGAAACTGGACAAGTATCTTCACCAGGTGCCTGATCAGTCAGACAGTGATGCATGTGGGGCCAGCGGGGCACCAACAGCAATAGCCTATGTTCAACACTTGGGTATCTTTTTAAAAAAGTTTCAGCACACTGTGGCTTCATTAGTCCTATACAAAGAATAGTGAAGAATGAGATTGAGGTAATCAGTCCCTCTGCCTGGAGTCGATGTAATCAGTCCATCAATCTTGATGTGAATATAGCCTATGTGCAAAGGGGCTTATATACTACAGGCAAGTGAGGTAAAACAGTCGTAGGTGGTGTCACCTTGGACAAAGCCACAGGTAGAAGTAGGCAAAAGTAGAATTCCTCTGTATTAAGATCCCGAGATATTGTCGTGTCTGACAGGAACGTAGATAAATTCTTCAGAGAACCGACAAGTCCATAAATTAGAAACATGCAACCTTGGATATCTTTGCTGTGGCAACATTTCGCCACACTGGTTTCATCAGTCCAATACAAAGAAGAATGGTGAAGATCAGAATGAGTTATAGGTAATCAGTCCCTCAGCCTGGAGATGATGTAATCAGTTCATCAAGACTGATGGACTGATTACGTTTCCACAATACCCAAGTGTTGCGCATGTGACTAACTGTGGCATGCTAAGAGTATGTTACATTTTCTTCAGTGTATGTCACTCATTCATATAGGCTGCCTCCCGACCAGTGAACCAGGTGCTAAGGGTTTAAAAATCAAAGGGGCCCCGTCTTTATACCAGTACCATGGTTCAACCAGCAAATCATAATGAATCCCGAAAAAGCTGTGAAGCGATGTGGTACACTCGTGAAACAACTTTGGCAGACTTGCCATCACTGCTGGTCGCTCACGGTTCACCGTGTCTTGCGCAGGCATTTGTCTCATTGAACACTGTCTCTTATGCTTGCTTTTACATCATTGTAGGTAGTGCAAATACTGTCCATAGGCTATAATACACTCTAAATACCAGCTTGTTTTGTGGAAGGAAATATAATTCAGTTATTCTCTGCTGTCCTTTGCTTGTTCCCAAATGGTAATCGCATCACAAGGTTTTTACCTGGAGTTTACCTGGAGGGCATTCCGGGGATGAACGCCCCCGCGGCCCGGTCCATGACAAGGCCTCCTGGTGGATCAAGACCTGATCAATCTGATGCCTGACGCAGGCAGTATCTACACCTGTTCTGAGAACTTGTCGGTTCTCCGAACAATTTCCCATGTCACTTTAGCACTTTGATTATATTACCCCGAACCATTTATTTATAGCAATAGCCTAGTTGACCAAGGAAGCACCTGACAAGCCTGGCCCCAGGCCGGGTTCTGGGAGTAGAAACACACTCGAAATTCATCATAGGAATCGTAGGTATGAATAAAACTTGCAAAATACATCAAAAAAATAAAGTTAATGCCTAAGATAATTTTTGTTTTGCTGATACAAGTAAGATACGTACGTGCGTATACGTACGTGCGTATACGTACCTGCGTATACGTACGTGCGTATACGTACCTGCGTACTTCAAAAGTGTACTTTTGAACTGTTATCTTACTTTTAAAGTTATTTCTCCACATTCATTATTTAGGCTAAGCTACGTTAAACTAGCTTTGATATACTTGGTTAAATTATCGTGAATTCCTGATTAGAATTTTTGGAAATAGGAATTGTAGATGTAGCAACCAAGATAGTTAAACTGTGCGTATCATATTGTAGGCGAGTGTGTGTTAGTCGTATCATGTTGTAGGTGAGTGTGTGTTAGTCGTATCATGTTGTAGGTGAGTGTGTTAGTCGTATCATGTTGTAGGTGAGTGTGTGTTAGTCGTATCATGTTGTAGGTGAGAGTGTGTTAGTCGTATCATGTTGTAGGTGAGTGTGTGTTAGTCGTATCATGTTGTAGGTGAGTATTAGTCGTATCATGTTGTATGCGTGTGTGTTAGTCGTATCATGTTGTAGGTGAGTGTGTGTTAGTCGTATCATGTTGTAGGTGAGTGTGTGTTAGTCGTATCATGTTGTAGGTGAGTGTTAGTCGTATCATGTTGTAGGTGAGTGTGTGTTAGTCGTATCATGTTGTAGGTGAGAGTGTGTTAGTCGTATCATGTAGTAGGTGAGTGTGTGTTAGTCGTATCATGTTGTAGGTGAGTATTAGTCGTATCATGTTGTATGCGTGTGTGTTAGTCGTATCATGTTGTAGGTGAGTGTGTGTTAGTCGTATCATGTTGTAGGTGAGTGTGTGTTAGTCGTATCATGTTGTAGGTGAGTGTTAGTCGTATCATGTTGTAGGTGAGTGTGTGTTAGTCGTATCATGTTGTAGGTGAGAGTGTGTTAGTCGTATCATGTAGTAGGTGAGTGTGTGTTAGTCGTATCATGTTGTAGGTGAGTATTAGTCGTATCATGTTGTATGCGTGTGTGTTAGTCGTATCATGTTGTAGGTGAGTGTGTGTTAGTCGTATCATGTTGTAGGTGAGTGTGTGTTAGTCGTATCATGTTGTAGGTGAGTGTGTGTTAGTCGTATCATGTTGTAGGTGAGAGTGTGTTAGTCGTATCATGTTGTAGGTGAGTATTAGTCGTATCATGTTGCATGCGTGTGTGTTAGTCGTATCATGTTGTAGGTGTGTGTGTGTTAGTCGAATCCACATATTCTTTTAACATACCGATCGTCTCCCACCAAGGCAGAGTGACCCAAAAAAGAAGAAACACTATTACCACCACAGCATCACAGTCTTGCCAGAGCCGCGCTGATGCTGCACTTGGGATGCCCCTCCTAGTAATAATATCTCCACCCCTGCAGAGGGGTGGAGATAGTTACGATACTAGGTTACAAACTGGAAAAAAGGCTGCTAAAATCACTATTAGTTCCACGATCGTCTCCGTACCAAAATGCTTCTCCACATATGAACGTTTAGCGATACAAACTAAATTTTTCTCTCGTTGCATGATCCAAGAAAAGATCCCTGAATTCTCTGAGTTCAGCCCCTTATCCCTTAGTGATATGATAAAGGTATCCCAGTATTCCCTAGACCCAGCTCCATATACCACAAAGTAAAATGGGATAGTGCACAAGTGCAGAAGTTTGTAATGCAGTTAAATATCATTGTAGAAGATCTACAAATCCTATATAAATCTGGAGGAAACACG